TAGGAAAGCTGAAAATTTAGAAAATTTCACCCAACTCCACGATTTGAGGTTCTGTTTTCAGCATGACTTTTGGCGGCATTTGTCACTATTACTATTTAATCTCCAACTTACTGTTCCAGGGTGTTTTACCAAAAAAATTTATGCGTTTGCGAAGTACGAAATTAACGTCAGAAGGCGTTTTTGGCATGCGTCTGTCCGCGCTGTCGGCTTACTTTTCCCCACTACAGCTTCCAAAATAGGCATGAGCCCGATCTAGAACTTACATGACTTTATATATCCGTGCATTCGAGCTGCACCTGTATGAAGCTTGGACCTACACAAGTACACCTAGTGAATTTAACGGGAGAGTTCCGTTAGCGCGTATATAATTAACAGCCTACAACATTTACGTAGCGTATAGCGAGAGATGTCCGACAGTGAAAAAGAACTTAACACCAAATTGTTCACCCTTATCATTCTTAATTTTGCATGGATTGGACTCCCCCTCTTTTCACGAAAGTAAAATATTCAAGTCTACCTTGCCGATGATTAATTATGAGCGCTCGTTTTTCATTGACTGCTCGAGCACGTCTGTTGAGTTCCACACGCTTATTTGGCATTTCTTCTTTTGTTTGCTTCAAGCTCCTCGTTTCTGCAATTCGTCGTTCGCCTTCTTCTACGTTCTTTTGCAGTTCTTCTATAGCAGCTGTAGCTGCAGCTTTCGCTTTAACTTTCGATCTTTCCACTTTTCTCGGCGTTATGAAGTGAATGACTATGGTGGGCGCAGAGATCGTTGACGGCTTGTGAGCTTCCATAGTCAACTAAACATTTATAGAATTTTGCAGAATTTCTAACGAAATGTGGTTGTTACACTGACCATACAATACAATAGATTAGCATACATGAGTAATTACTGTGCTGGAGGAATCAATGGCCTACCGAGTTCCCAGCAAAGCGTGGGCAATTACTCAGATAATCGCCGAGCACACTCAGAAGGTCGTCGGGGTAGGCGCTCATGCCGCATATGAGCAAGCGCACACCGGGAATAGTTTGTCGATTTCTTGCGGTCCGCTTGCAGATATTTGGAAGATTTTT